GAGAAAGGAAAAAGAGAAAGAAGCGGAGGGAGGGAGAGAAAGGAAAGGAAAGAGGGAGAGAGAAAGAAAGAAAAGGAGAGGGAGAGAGAAAGGAAAAAGAGGGAGAGAGGGAGGGAGAGAATTTAGAAGGCCATTAATCACTTGTTCGCAGGAAAGGATGCTCTGTGCAAGGCAATCTGTCTTCCTTTCTGGGTTCCCTGATGTTTCTCAATCTGGACGGCAGACCGACCACCACGACCACCACCACCACCCCCGCAGGCAGAGCTCCCTCCCTCCCTTTCGCGTGGGGCGCTGGAAGCCACTGGTAGGGCTACTCACCACTGCAGCAGCCTTTCCCCTTGCATTTCGCAGTAGGCCTGGAACCCCGGGAAGCTGCGGTAGAAATCGTACTCATCTCCAGGCTGAGGGAGGCCAGATGAAGCCTTGGTAGCCGAGACCACCGTGCCAAGGGCGTGCTGGAGAAGAATGGGATGATGATGATGACACACACACACACATTATATATACCTTATTTACATGTATGGTACTTACATGTATGCACTACACACACACACACACACACACACTTTGCGCGAGATTTTAACATAATTTAATTTGGCACTTTGGGAAAGTTAGGTTTGTATTGTACCGAACGTCAGAACGGGCAGCAGCCTTGAAACTACAACTCCCGGCATGCCCAGAAAGCCAAAGCGCATGCGCACTTCCCTCCCCGAATACCTTCACGAAGGAATCTGCGTCTCTAAACCCCGGGAGCACCATCGCCGCGCCGTTGCTTTCCGTCGCCGGCGCCTCGGAGGAGCTTCCCAAGCCCGGGCCGCTCTCCGTCGCCGCCATGGTTCGCCAAGATCGAGGCCCGCCGCGCTCCCGTCACAGGCGCCCCGTGCAAGCAGCCACCATACTGGACAGCAGAACCACGGCGATTCCCCGCACAGGCGAAATCTCGCGTTCTCTCGCTCTCTTCCTCTCGCGAGACGTCGTCCCTGCGCGATCCAAAACGTTCAGAGCGCAGGGCGAAGTTTTGGGAAAGCCAAGTTTTGCACAGCCTTGTTTCCGTGGGTTTTATTTCCCTCGCCTTCTTGAACAGCGTTGTTAGAAGCATTCCTTTAACCAGAGGTCTCCAAACTTAGCAACTTGGACTTCAACTCCCAGAATTCCTCAGTTAGCATATTCTATTTCTATTCTATAGACTGCAACTTTTTCGCTTGTATCCTTACAATTTATATGGACTGTTTCTAGTATGATTTGATTGCTGATTGTACCCCATGACTATCATTAAATATTGTACGCTATGATTCTTGATTCTCAACGAATGTATCTTTTCTTTCATGTACACTGAGAGTATTTGCACCAAGACAAATTCCTTGTGTGTCCAATCACACTTGGCCAATAAAGAATTCTGTTCTCTTCTTACTGGCAATCAATCAATGAGATCAACCAATCAATCAGAATAGATCTGGAAGGAAGACCTTGGAGGTCTTCTAGTGACTTCCAACCCCCTGTTAAAGCAGGAGATCCTATACCATTTCAGAGAAGTGACTGTCCAGGCCAGACTCTCTTAAAAACCTCCAGTTGATGGAGCACCCAGTCATTCCACTGGTTAAAGGTTAGGAAGTGTTAAGTGGTAGGAAGTTTCTCTTTCATTCCAGGATTGCTTTTCTCCTGAATTACTTTCCATCCAACCACAATCCGACGAGAAGGGAGGATTTACTAGTGATGCAAGCTCCTTACAT